ACAAAAAACCGGGTGTGATATAAATAAACATAAAAAAATCAAAAGATGAAAACAACCGTAAATAATAAATACCTTAAATTAATTAAACGTTCAGTTGCACGTCAGTTCTGTTAAATTTGCATGGCATATCTTATAACTGTATTTGTCTTATGTTTATCTTTAAAAGAAATGTCTTAAGGGCATACGATACAGTTACAGGGGAGGTAATGACGTTGCTAACGTAAAATGTTATTTTGGCGACGTCAAACTGTGACATATCGGGAAAAGATGTATTTTTCGACTGATTTTTATCATTCAAACTGATTTAACTTGAAAACGAGTTCATGGACCCCTCTTTTTTAAAATGACATTCGGTTTGATTACGTATGAAGATTATTTGTACCAATTTTCACGAAAAAGTCAATAATGCAATTTTTTTAAATTTGATAAATATACAGCAAAAATTGACGTTTTTTTCTACATTCATGAACAATTGATAAATTTGAGTTATTTCTAAACAAAAGATTTCATAACTTTATAGGATACTTATATAAAACAGAAATTACAAATAATTTAACAAAAAACAGCTTGTGTTTATCTTTTAAAACAAAAAAGTTATGCATTCCTGTCGGAAGGAAAAATACGTCCACAAATTCGAATTTTGAGCAAATATCTGAAATTTCGAACTCATTTTACTCAAAAAGTAGCACATGAAGGTATATTTTTTATTACATATTTGATTTAATCAGGTTAAAAATAGCCTATTTGCAAATTTTCATCAAATTTTCATTATGGGATCAAAACTGTATCGTATGCCCTTAATGTTAAGTTTCATTAATGCAATTTTAAATTATGGACTTTCCCTAAAATCTATCAAACAACAATTCAAGATCAATTAACAGAAAAGTAAAATGATGAACCCTACATTAATATGAAGGTCATCTGACCAAGTGCAACCAAACGAAAGTAACTAATTTCAATGTTGCCGGTGATTTTTGAACAGTATATAGCTTTCATTCCCTTTTTGCACTTGTATAATCCATTTTCTATTAGGGGGAATTATTTCTATGCCCCACCTAGGGGCATTATGTTTTTCGGTCGGTGAGTCCGTTCGTACGTCCGCCCTCCTAACGAGCCAAGATTCTGAAGAGAGTTTCACACAGTCATGCTAACAGTTTACGCATACGAAAAATTTACTTACTGATGTTTTATTTTAATTATTCACACTTTTAGAACAATTTGACTATATTCCATGCTTTTTGTCCTTTTTAAATGGATGCTTAGGACATATTTTAATTGCTCATTTAAAAGTACACCTTTTGAGGACGTCGCCTGCGATTTTCCGTAAATATTACTTCTTTACTGAAGTCTTCGTAAGTTGATTTTTTTATGACCGTTTTGTACATCTTAAAATGTATTTAATTATGCTGACAGACCTGCATAATAACAAATAATGAAAATACAAATTATTTAGTTCATAGGAAAACCAGATTTCCGTCGCTTTTTTTTTTGCAAAATGGATGCAATTTGGGTACTTGAAGTTACTCACAAACACGACAAGGAAAGTTTTTGATGCAAGTTTCTTCTGAAGCGGTCATGAGTGCGGATAAGAATTTCAGACTTTGAAATAATACAACTGATGCAAAGAATGTAGACAAGTGCAGTGGACAGATTACAATTTTGGTGTATACATTTCTATTTTTGTTGAGAGGAAAATTCCAAAAAATAGTGTGAACACGATATAAATCTCTTCATGGGCTAGCGTTTTCTTGAACGAAAAAAAAAAATCAATTCGAATTTATAAACAGATAATAAGATATTTTTTTTCTATTTACCAAAGGATATTGTGCAAGTTCATTACACAAATAATATATAAATACAGGAATATAAGAATAAAAAAATTCCGGGCTCTACAATAATTCAAATAATGGATGAGAGGGAGGAAAACACATCGAAAGTGTATCTCAAAATGAAAACAGAATTGAATTAATTGAGTATTTTACATTATTTTAAGGTAAATTCTTTATTTTGACCTTAAATATACTTTTAACTGAATAAACACATTCCTGTGTCAGAGACTAAAATCTGAAATATGATATCTATATAAGGTTTAACACGTTAGGTATAGTGTCCGGCTGAGATCGTGTTTTCTCGAGTGAATCGAGTGAATCGGTCTACTTTTTCGAGTGTAGATCGGGTTTTTTCGAGTGATATTACATGCGATCAGATCGATTTACTGCTATTTCGCGAATATAATAGTTGTATTCGTGACTGTTTATCTTATTCTAGATTCTTTACATGTTTTGAGCACAAACGACGCACAATTTCCTTGTTGCTCTCTCAAAATTCAGTGTTTTATATTGTCCGTGTTTTTTCGAGAGCAAAATTACAACGTCCGGGTTTTTCAACAAACGGTCCGGGTTTTTGGAAGAAAATGTGAATAAGAAAGAAGACAATCTCGGGCTTGAAAACTGATTTTTTCTAGTTTGTAACTGTAATTTAGCGAAGGACAATATCATTTATTCTTAATAAGTCACAAAAACATATTGCTATGTTGATCAAATTTAACCCTTTTAAATTTAATGATAACTTTCTGTTCTGAAAAACAGATTACCAAAAAGTTGCAGTATTACGATACATGCATAGGAAATCACTGGGTCCTTTTTTAAAACCGTCTTTAGAACCGAGGAGAGGGACTCATAATATATCAATTTCATTTCATGCTACCTTTGTTTTTACCGTCAAAAATATTTTATCATTGATATATATATATATTACAGTGACGAAAAAACATAGGAGCAAGAAAACTAAGGAGCGCAGTGAAAATCAGAAAAATTCAATAACATTTGAATTGAATGGAATATCTAATAAAAAATGAAAACAACACTTTATAAATTTCATTCGTCCGAAGCGCTTTTCTGGATTTACTTTCATCCAGATTGTTCAACGCAGAATGGACCTAAAAAATAGCCAAACCTTTGACTGATGGAGTTGAAACCTTAGTTTCTTTATAATTTTTAATCTATAAACGGACAATTTTTAATGATTGATTGTTGGTTACTTAACGTCCAGTGACAAATATTTCATTCATGCATGTTCAAGACGAGAACCAATTAACAATAAATCGAATATGTAGGTCATGTGTGACAGAGGACGTTCGAAATGAAGGTCGGGAAATTTAGGCTGCTACTGAAAATCAGGGTATATTGGATATGCACAGAAATTGTGCCTTGCAGCAGGCAACCTACGGACCCCTCAAAGAGCTGTTGCAAGGATTCTTATCATGAGGTGAGCGTGGAACTTTCTACAGGCCCCATTTTCACCGGATGTAACTGCGTACTTGAACATCCCGCACAGCCAAACGGACGCCCCACTTTGGCAAGGGTTTTACTGCCGGTTGGAAGAGGACTTAAGTGACCATAATTTTATTCCCCAGGCCCCTTTTGAGGTAAACAATTTTATAAAGTTTTGTTATAAATCATGTCAGTACCGAAGTACTGACTACTGAGCTGATGATAATCTCGTGGACATCCAATATGTTTAATAAACAATGAAATAAATAATATGTAAGCTTTAATACGATCCTTTTGAAATAATAAAAAAACCGAAATGTGTATATAATATGCGTACACCTCACAGTTATAATTCTTTTAATTTCTGAGGGCAATGAAGCTATGATGGTGCTTTATTTCTATGTGACCAAGTATAGCATTGATCAGACTCCTCTTCACAGTAGGAGCATTTGAACATTTGAACATTGTTCTTGATTTCCATTTCCAGAACGATGAAACATATTATCATTAAGACAAACAGTAAATGAAACATTTAGGATGCATTTTCTGTTAAAAACACACATTTACCACCTTTACACGTTATTGTACGTACGTCTCAATCCAACATGTCTGACCTCACATAAAGACTGTTAACATCGCGAAATATTTACTGTATAAAATCCATATCGGTGCACTAACATGAAGATATCTGAATTCAAATGAGCAATGCATTTTTATTAAATGAACGTGTTGTGTTAATACAGCATTATCAAACTGGTTTAATGCATTGTTTCGTGCTTTCGAAAATACTTTATTTGAACCTTTTCGTTGTTTTTAAACTTTAATGCACTGACATATTACAGTTTAAGCCATATGAATTTTTTTTTCACTCGATAAAACAAGGACGCACTCGAAAAAACACGGACTGCTCTCGAAAAAAAACACGGACATATAAAAATGAATTTTCTCTCCAAAATGTCCTTTTGAATGCAAAGACAAGAACTTTTGTAAAGTGTATATATAAGTATATATAGATTCCATGTATACATTTCCGTTGCAATTTGCATTGGTATGTGTACAAAAATGGCTTTAATCTTTATTTTGGAATAAAGCATTATAAGGCTAAATTAAACGCTATTAAAACAAAATAATGTAGGGTTGATAATACATTTTTATCAAAAATGCTAATTTACCTTCTATGATATTAAATATAAGGTTCTAGCACCTTTGTTTACGCATTACCAGAAAGGAAGTTTGTTTGTTTACCCTTTTGATCATATTCACTCGAAAAAACGTGGTCACACTCGACAAAACCCGATCAAATCACTTGAAAAAACACGATTCCAGTCGGACACTATACCTACCGTGTATAACTACAAAAGATTTGGGTCATGTAGTCAATTTAGTGACTCTTGTACAATAAAGAAAAATTGAATCGACGATAAGATGCCTGCATAACTAAAGTAGTTTTACTTTAAAGTCTGATTTGTTAATTTTCATTTTGTTCTACAAAAAAAAAATATATATATGGACGAATAGCATATAATGTATAACACGTCTGTCTTAAATAACACAAAGGACAATTACACGTCTTAGTTCAGACTGAGATTAAATCTCTCGTCAAATAAACACTACATGGAAATAAAATATTATTTCAAAACAAGCATAATGATTTAAACTTCAATATCTTTTATAGACATTTATGCAAGGCCTCAATTTCAGTTTCAAGTCTATTTAAAACTGTACGAATTAAAAGAAAATCCAGGGCAGTGTACTGATTTGCACAACTTTTCCTGTCATGACGTAGTTAACTATAATTATCAATAGTGAAATTTGTTAGGTAATTACTACTTATGTTGAATGAAGACTGGGTAAGTTATTTACATATAAAGTTACACTTTGTTTATATTTAGCTAAGTTATTAGTGCAGTGGCGAAATCTGAAAAGACACTTAGTTAAGGAGGTTAATGCACCAAAAGAACACACACCTAGGAATGATTTAAAGTGAAAGAATAAATTTTTAACTTTTTTTTGAAACATGCCGTAAGAAAATCGTATGGTCAAATTTCCGTAAAAGTGGCTTTTTTTTAGCGTTATAAAGTCATGGTAGTGTATAAAACAAAAATCACTGATACCCTAAAATGTAAATTATTACTACTAATCACAAAATCACGGCTATTTTTGAACATGCAAATGTACGGCTAAGATATCAATGACAAAAAGAGGCAATGATTTATTTGTAGATGTTTACAATTCAAATTTTATAATATTTTTTTTCTTCAGTAGAACTTTGTTGTTTATACGACATTCACCTGTTTCCGTTTATGACAGAAAATAACAATTAGCTTCATTTGCATATAAATACACTTTGATGTATACTTTATACAAAACAGCTTTCATTTGAAACATTTTTAATTCTATTTACTAGACATTTATAATTCAAACAGGACACATCAATACGCCACACAATGCATTTAAATCCGGAATGGTGGTCCGAAAATTTTATTCTTATTTAATCCTCGTGCAATCCGTTCAGTTCTATCACTGTACAAGCCAATTTTCAATTAGCATTTTCACATTGAAATCGTATATTTTAGATCGCTTTTTATGGTTATTTCTGTCTTTTCACTATTCTTATTTATGCTTTGTTGTTAATTTCAATGTTTTATGTTATTTTTGACAACCAGAGAGGTTATTACTATTGTTTTCTATGATTGTGTGCATTGTGTTTCAATAATCTTTAAAAAGTTATTCCAGATCTGTTGTGACAAATTTCCGGAAAATGTCACAGTTAAGTTATCATTTAGATCTTGGGTCGTTTCAAAGTGTAAATATAAACCGTCTGTTCAAAACAAAGACTAACTCCTATGATGTTTTTCTATAGTTGAACAACGGGATTTCAAAAAATATCGATACAAAATGCCATCTTGGCAGCTTGAGGTGGAATCGGGACAACTTGGACCTAAAGGCAAATCGGACTAAGACACAGCGGGCCTGTTCAAAGACAACTCAGACTAAGACACAGCGGGCCTATTCAAAGACAACTCAGACCACTTTTATAGACAGCTCGGACAAATTGAAGACAACTCGGACCAGTTTGAAACACTCGTCAGACCAGAGGCTCTTCGTGGTTTTTTTTCTTTTCAGTTCCCCTAACTGACCATCTTAGCTTGCTGTACAACTTGTCAGTTTGATGCATTTCAATAAGTTCTGTTACTATAAATTGTTGATTGATGGCCTAACGAGATCAAATAGAAAAATAAAACAACAAATATCTTTCAATGCAATGAAAATATAAAGCAGATATATACTCGTCTTTACATATACGGGCCCGTGTTGTAATAAGTGATCCTAGAAATCTTTCAAGATGGTTGAAATACCTTTTATCGCCAGGCACCAAATGTTAATTTTCGACTATCATTAGCGACAACTTGATTCAATATATATTTTGGTTTGTCAAATTATCCTTATTTGTCAGAGGTCTCAATTATTTAATCTTTACCGTTATAATTGGAAAACATATACCATGATTCGTCAAAATCAGTTGATTTTTTTTATCGTCATAATGAACTCTATGTTTCTTTGTCGAGTTTTTGTGGACTTGTTTGTATTTTCGTCGTTTTTCTTTTGACCATGGTGGAGTCTTTTTTTTTGACTTATGGGTCCTAGATGCCCCTTTGCATCGTTTCCTCGTTAAAAAAATAAAAGTAACTTAATTTGCATTAAACATATACATGCATTACATTTTAAATTAAATCAAGAATTTCAAAATATAGACCCCAAGAAATTTGTTTAGATATTCTTATAACACTCAGGTTATCTTTTAAAGTACACGGATGTCTATGAACCCAATTTTAGATTCAATGCAAGTCAAACAAAGTTTTTAAAACGATGATTTTTTTTTATTTCTGCAGAAATAAAGAAGTTAATACATGTTATCAAATAGAACTATATTACACCATTCTTGACTTAAATGCTCTTTGCTTGTAAAGATATTTGAATGCACACGAATATTAAATGAATCCGAACCTTAATCAAACACATGACACATTATTTATAACGAGATATTTTTATATTTCATTAAGAATAAATTATAAGCTGATATTTTGAAAAAATCGCCAACGCAATATTTATTTACTACATGTATCATTAACGTCAAAAACAGAAGAAAAAATGCCGTTTATATCATTTGGCAAGATCTAAACGTTATTGTTAAAAAAAATCACTCACTATTTAAATCGGTTAGGGAGCATTTACTGATACAAAAGTGTAATCGTATAAAAGATGTACGACGCTTTTGTAAAGAGAGTGGAACTATTAATACGGAAAAATGAATAAATGATAAGTGTATTTCGTGCCTTTATTTTATTTTTCCCCGTTATGGATAAAGAACACAGATTAACCATGGCAGCATTACCTGCCCTGATGCAGACTTCACCAGATGTAAGGTACACATTTCATTCGTCATCTGATTATAACCCTGGTCCTAGCTTGACCACCGACAAACCAATCTTTTACAATCAGGGAAATATTATAGGCAATGATTTATACTTTTGGAATGGGAGAAATGTGTTCACTTGTTTTGCAAGCAAACGATATTCCTTTTTCCGGTGAAACTCCCGACACGTTTCTTTAAATTGTAGCCGATGTTAAAGGTCTCTTCAGAGAGAGAACCAGTCGAGATCATAAGCTTTCCCCGGGAAACAGAATTCTTCCTTTATGTTATGGTTACAGTCGTACCCGTCTTATCATATGATTTCTGAAATAGTTGACCTTAGTGTTTCGACTACCAAAGATAAAACACTTACATGTATACCTATATCAAGAAACATATAATTGTCTTCTCTATTGGCCTTCTTTGGATGATTGGAAAAACTTACAAGGTGATTGGCCAAACCAAAACTTCCGTTTGCTGTAGAGCTATTGACAGAAAGTTTGTGGCCGATAACGGAACTACAAGAACAGTATTTCCCAAGACACAGACAAGTTGTAATATTGAACGAAGGATATGTTTTATTGACTGTGGATTTCTTTGGCATCAGCAATATATGTTGATGAGAAATATAGGACAAGAATTACCTTTCCCAACTGCGCTGATTTTGCTAGGCGACAAAATATATCAAGTATTGACACCTTACATGAGACAAACCCCAGAATATGCAGAGGAAGTGTAAAAAAATGACTAGACATTTTACACACTATATAGTAAGGGTTGAACACGCATTCAGAGAATTAAAAAAAAACCAACAAAACAACAAATAAACCGCAGAGTTATTGGGACTTTGTGGCGATTCACATCTGTTCTGACCATAAGTTTCTGCATTTGTGTGTCGTCGAAAAGACTTATTTACGTAATAAAAAAATATTATTTCATTTTACTAAGTATCTCAATTGGGTTTGTTTTTTTTTATTTTGAGAGGACCCCTTGTTTTTCGTCAACTGTAATCGTAAGTCTAAGTGTAATCATAGGTATAGACATAGTTTCCGCAAATGTCTAATACTAATATATTTTATAAACTTCATACGAATTCATTCTGATGTTACAACAGAAATATCAGTTTTTGTGTGAAACGAAAATGTCAAAAACTTACTAAAATAGCCAGTAGAACTGAAATCAATAAAATTTACGTAAACCCCCATTTACTTGACGTTAAAAATTTGCACAATTACAAGTCGTTTGAAGACTTCATTTTTATGTAAATTTGTATAATCAAATGTCAAGGCTATCCTTGTTTGGAAACAAAATGAAGTCATAAATAAACAAAAATATTTATCAAATGAAAATGCAATTTTAACGTTAAAACCCGTTATTCTAAAAACAAATTGGTATCACTTACAGGCTTCATCAATGATTAATAAAATGATGTCCTCTGATTTTTCCATATATTTTAAATTTCCGAATTTTACACCAAATTTATAGTTAAGACATTACTTGGAAATATATAATTATTGACCTTTGACCCACATTATGCAAAATGTGGACCACTTCGCAGACTTACGGCATCATTAATCTGAAAGCTTACAACCTGCTTTTCAGTGATATATAATTAAACTATGTTTTTGATGGGTGCATTAAATTTATCTTTTTATGTTTCTACCACTGGTCTATATGTTTTGTGTGTCATTCCTTCCATATCAAAATGTCAATATCATTTTCTCTATCTGTATTTAAATTTTTTATATTTTAGTTGACATGTTGAATCATAGGAATAAAGAAAAAGTTTCAACGTACTGATTCTTTCCACTGTTGACAACTTTATCACACTTATTTTCTCGATTTTGATTAAGAAAAACATTTCTTAAAGCATTAGATTGAGATTTTCAGTGTTTGTATACTTCATTTAGTATTAATGAATGGAGTCAGTATGGCAGCCTCCCAAATACATAGAACATCTGAACGACATGTAAAATGCAATGTTTAACTATCAGAAATGACATTTGTCGATTCAGTTTGCATGATGTAGATGAACCCAAGTCTAACAACGTGTTAATAAATATGCGACATATCATCTCAAATGTGCCAGCTTTTCATTGATACATCTGATATGTGATTTTGGTTTGTAATAGTTGTACGTGCATCATCATCATCCTCATGCTTTAGCATCAATGTTTTTGAAACTAGATCCATCATGAAAACGTCATCATAAAGCATCCTTCATTGTCTAGTGGCATCGTTTTCAGCTTTTTAGATACATTGATGAATTTGAAATATTATAACACATATTACATCTAATATGGTTTAAACTTGGTGTTAATCACATGATGTTTTGATAATAATAAGATAACGTGACAATGCACAAGTATGAATTTAATTTAATAATAGTATTTGCACTTCTTGTCTTTTATTTTTCCACCCCCGCCTAAGATGCAA